AAGCTCCCCTTCTTCAGAGATCTGCTTGTTATTTCGTCTTTACTGGTGTAGTTGCATACATACTGCTCCACAATTTACGGACGAGCCACTGCAGTACTATCACAAGTGCCAGCTTTAATTTTTGAACGCACAGTGAAGCCGAGCTGTAGCTGTCTGCGGATGCGCTGACGACGATTGCGAGGGCTAAACTTCGGAGAGCTGTGCACACAAGTGTGCTGCCACCGTCATGCTGCGCTTTCACACGTCACCTCACAAAGCGAACTCAAGGCAGATTCCTATTACGTTTACAGATTCTTGTACGATATTGGATATTGTGCAGGTTAATGTAATTTTTTGCCTTGACTTCAGGTCGAAGCAATATTTGATGCACTCGATATTAACAAAGATGGAGAAATTATGTTCACAGGTGCGGGGTTACTTCGGTTTGCCGCCACTTTACTCAAATCACATTTAAGGGCACCTTATAACAACTTTCAATACGCAGTTTAACTAGAGAAGCGCACTTCTGTAGGTGGTAAAGAAAGCACGCTTGTGATAGGACACGGATGTGGAGCAACGCGTGACCACCGCGAAAGCCAATGCACACACTTCGAAACCTCATTTCTACCTGCCACGACACGAGTCATCTTAAAGTGGGATGTAATCGATGTGTAGTGTTTCGTTGCACTGTAAGCTTCGTGTTGTGTTTTGGTCACTCAGTGTTTGCCGCTGCAATGATCGGCACTTTAGTGGAGGCGGATGATTCTCTACTGAAAAAGGCATTTGATAAATTGGACGTCAACCGTGATGGTAAAGCATGAAAGCTTCCTGAAGAGTTGTGAAAGGGCCTCTAGTGGGGTTTTGTTGCATAATGTCTTTCCTGGTAATCCGAGGCATGCCTGAAAGTAGGTGGGCAGAATGAGTGCCTGGAACATGCGCACGAACAAGACGCGGTGGACATGTCTCATTTGACCACAGGGCGACTTTCTCTAGATGATTGCCGTTGGGTATTCGGCGAAACATTATTTGGGCAGAGCCTCTCTGCAGCTTTGGAACAGGAAGGAAATGAAGATGGAAATCTGGGTAGGGACATGCACGTTTACGCCAAGCCACCAGCCAGCTGTTGTGTGCTGCTGAATTAATTTTGCAGTCATAGCGACTAGACTTGCAACATCAGTTTAATATACAGCATGTCTAATTCGTAGGTATGATCTTACATGAATACGTTCCCAGGCTACTTTCACTTCGCCTCACTGATTCGGCATAAGTGCAAGCCCCTGCCTCGGCAAAAATACAAAAGGTGGTAAGCTGCCAGATCTTATTGCTACTGCAGATGCTATGTGCAAAAGAAACTGCAGCACCGCCCACAGGGCTTGTTGCATCGCCTCCAAACAGCGTGCTGCGGGAGGCTTAGCTAGACGTTGCGTTTATACTGTGAAGAGGCCTAACTTCCTTCAACAATAGTGCCGAGTTTGGAGAAAACTTTTCTTCAATGCCCTATTACTCTTTCCTTCTGTTTCTTCAGTCCCAACGACGCCCGCTCACAGGGCAGGACACAATCGAGTGACCGCTCCGTGCATGCCCATTGGATGGGCATGCCATCAAGTACCTTGACAAATTCAGCTGCCGCTCGCGGGCCAGATGCTTCTAGCGTACAAGATATGCACCAGGGTCAGCATGCCGCAGTGGCTGCGGCACTTTCGAATGCGCGTCTTATGGGTGAGACTTGCGACGGGCTGAAACAGCATCAAAACAATAGCAGCTCTGCAGATTGAGCACTAGTAGAAAGCCCGTTCGTGCGCCGCTGGTGCTGCTTTCCCTGTATCGTCGTCTCCTCCTACTTTGCAGCAGAACACTGCATCAGGAGTTCTCAACTAAGCATTCTGCTGCATTGAGCTACTTTTATGGCACCAGGGCCCCACGTGGCCCTTTGGAGCACTTCAATATTTCCTGACCTGTCATGCTTTTCTATGTACTGATGCCCTCAATCTCAGCTCAAGTGCGTGAAGATTGTGTTGTGTAGCCTGGTTGCTATACTCCTTTCTTCGCACGCCGATCAGCGCATGGATTTTTATTGTGTAGTTGGGTTGTAAAAGCGTCACACGCCATCAGGAAGCACTTAGATGGCTCGTTTGACTGGCACTTAGTGGGTAATCAAGTGTGTGAAACACGTAGTTTTCCTTGGAGGAACATAGCAAGCTTGTGTCACGGACATACGCTTCCCAATTCGACTCTACAGTTTCGGAATTTCGTTTCATAACGGTGTATGATGTAGGCCGCCTACCTTGATATGTAGGCGCCAAGCAGTCAAGTAACTGACTGTGCTGCACTCCCTGCCTTAAACGCGTTGGAAATAAAGCCGTAAACATATTTACATATTTGCCGATCCGTAAACATATTAATTATTCCATTGCCAGGATTCATTGAAAGGGAAGCATTCAGTTGAGGAGCGCTTCTGCCACGCTGGGACGAGCAGCGAGGAAGCTACCTTTAAAGTTACGCAAGGGACCTGGGAAAATTGGCTTGTAATCTAGAACTGGACGTTTCTTGTCAATTATACGGGCGGAACTTCCGAGCTTCAGCATGCCCACGTAATTAAAGTACTGAAATAGAGCCCTAGTGGTTGCAGAGCTTCTGGCGTTTTTCTGAGCTTTACTAGCGGAAGTCGTTCTCCACCAGTTGCAGGTGGAGCGCGGAGCGGCCCATCCTTAATAATCTTGAGAAGAAACATGAAGCCTCTGGAACTGTGCAACGTAAGAAGCTGGCTACTTCAGGGTTCGACTACGGCTAGCTAAGCCTCTAATTTTATTTTACTTTGTACTTATACGCCTCCCTGGCACCTGAGGCTTTGCAACAGCTTGCTTGGTCATTAGCACGCCACTTATTCGGAAGCACTAAATACCCAATTATAGCTGCTTAGACTGACTTTGTGTGTGCCATCACGCTCCAGCGGTCTGCTCTGCTGCTGCGTACTACTTGGCTACACGTTCCGCACTGCCAGGAGTTGAAGCGGCCAACAATTTCACGCTAATGCTGCAAATATTTCTCAATGGAATCTAAATTACCTTTGGCTTTGATGCTAACAACACGAAGTGCTGTTTGTGCCGAACCAGCTTGGAACGAACATGAATCCCGCGAGCAGAAGCTTACTGCCAGAGTAGTTGCACAGCGCTGTTCAGCCTGCGACCACTCTGAAAGCGCGCTTCTCGAATTGGAGTAATTTTTGTCAAAAATCGCCTCCAGCCGCAAAGCTGAAATCGTTGAACTGATGGGCAAAATGTCCTTCACTCAATTGCCGCTTTGTGCACACGAAATTATTATCGCGTCTTGCGCTTGCTATGAAGCACTGGGCATGGGCAACGACAAGTGTCTCATGCTACAGATTTCTAAAGCCCTTACAACTGCGGTGGGCTTTCTCTGGTCCACGTACTTGCAGTATACTTTCTGACATTGGAATGGAAAAAACGTGCCTACCGGATTGCAGCACTGTAGTACAAGCCCCTGCAGGATTCTACGTCATCAAATTAGATGCATTTTAATACTGAATACGTTGGGCTTTGTTCTATTGGCCTCGTGGTGCCGCGTGAAACTTTCTAGGATCAAGCACAAGGGAATAGTGCAAACTGCCGGACGTGAGACAGCCCATGGTTCTCAAAAACGCTTCCCAGGGAAGCAATGTGCTGCCAAGCAGTATGGGTTGCAAAGAGCCTCAGTGGTCTGTTGGAAAACAACGAAGACCAAATATGGAGTTGAGGCCGCAAATACCCACACAGAATGCAACAGTGAAATATCGGACCTTTTTCAATTGCGTACTCTCGTGCATCATTTGGTTCAACGTCTTCTAATGTTCAACATGTCGTTGCCTTCGTAACGTAAGTGGCTTTCCAGCTCAGGTGTCCCATTCTCGTGACATGAAATAGAACACAGAATAAAAGCGTGCCGATAGCACTTAGCATCTGCACAGTGCTTCAGTCGTATCAAACAAAGGTGACGTGCCTTCTCACGGGGCGCCTGCTGTCTACCTGGCCACAGGGTAGATCCCTAGGCAGCATCAACACAAGACTAGCGCGGGCTTTCGCTCTTCAGTTCAACACACATGCGCTAAAGGCACTATGGGTGCACCTCTGCGAGGAAGAATTCAAGACTTCATGGTCTTCGTGTCTTGAAATCTAAGATCTTCAAAGTTGACCTGTCTAATCTGCTCGTAAAATTCCTCTGAAAAAAGTCCAATGCAGTGAAGTGATTCAAAATATTTAGCGTGATTCAGCTGCAGCAGGCTGATTCTCTTAGTTCCACCTATGTGGTCCCACTTCAGCGGATGGCGCAGATACAGTTCCACTTTGCTACCACAGAAACTCTACAGGTTTCTGTCTCGTCCTCGTGCATCCCTACGTCATTAAGAGGCTCTGCAGAGGAAACCAGCTCCAATACTGAACCATCAGCTACTGTGGAATTCGCCCATCTGCCACCGAAATAATTTGCCAATACTGAAAGACGTTGCTCAAATTGCTGGGCCAAGCTCACACCAAATGTTATGAAGTGCAGCCGACGCAAGTAATTCACACGTGACGAGTTTTGAGATACTGTTTCGATAGAGAAGATAGCACGTTCGCCATGCACCCTTGAGCATGTCGATGCAGCAATAGCTGATATGTCTTACTTTCTTCCTTCCATCACACCATGAATCACACTACAGCAATTTAGTACCAATAACAGCAAAAGAAGTGAGCAAAACCAGCAGTAATGCACGGCTGTAGGCTTCCGCTAGCAAGCTAACTGGCATTCTTCGCCGTTGCTGCCTGACTACAGAAGCTACGCTGCTTCAACAGTACTCCCAAGACGCGCAATCTTTTCAGACTAAACAAGGGAATTAAAAGCAAGCCGAATCTACGTAGTTTTATAAAGTTCACCCAGCCGGATCCTCTACAGAAGCACCCGAGTAAAAGCACTGCCAATGGAAAACATGTATAAAGCCGTCACTCGTTTCATGCTCAGTCGCCACGTGGCCGCTGTACATGCATCTAAGGGTGCACAACTGCACCAGGCTGCAGCCTTGCAGGAGCTGCAGCTCTGAATTCGCTCGGAACCACTTCGCTCTCAGCAGCGAAAGCAATCCTTTGCCGCTTGCACCTGCTGTCGTGCTGCCGCCTACTGAAAGTTCCGTCGCTCAAATCTGTTGCTGTGTCGCTCCAACGGCACCAGGAACGACTCTGCTTTCCTGCGTGGATATCTGGGAGCTGCTGCTGGTGTGGATCTATCTCCTCCGTCTTTAGCAGAGCAGCACGCAGTTTCAGAAATTCCTGCCGAAGGTCTTCGCTACGTTTTCTTTGCTCCGAAACCGAAGCTTCTTCAGCTGCGGCGGAAGTTGTTTCAGATGCTGCTTGCTGCAGCTTAAGGGCTGTAATGGTGAGGCAAGCCACCAGCATATCTTTGTGCCTCTTGCGCTGGAAGCTGCCCCATCGTAACCCTACAGCTTGCTCAGTCGCACTCCACTCACGCAGTGCGCTCGCTGCGTGGGCTGCTGCTGCACGCAGCAGCGAGTCTGCTGCTGCTGCTCGTCCAGGTGCTCCTTCTGTGCACCCTTCTGCATCTCCCATCGAGCTCTTGCGGTTTGAGTTCATCCCACCTGCATCGTGTGCTGCCCTGGCGCTTAAATTCCCCCGAGCATAAAAAGTAGGATTACTCTCTGGTGTTGCACTTTGCTGGTTATGCTGCGGCTCTCCTGGTTCTGCAACTTCACGAGTCGGCTGCATTGCTGCTGTCGCCAGTCTCAAGGGTTGCGGCTGGTGTTGTACTAACAGCGCTCCAAGGTGCAAGCAGCACATCGCCTTTAAGTAGGATATCTCAGCAGCCATCTGGAGCGCCCAGCTTTGTGTCAAGTGGTACTGCTGCAGCAGTTGCTGCAGCAAAGGCAACAGTTGTACCGCCCTGGAGATACGCCTGAGCAGCAGCTCCACCAAGGCGATACGAAGCTGGAAGTGCAAGTACAGAAAACACTTCTGGTCAAGCAAAGCAGCTGCCGCTCTGTGGTGCAACTGCTGCAGCAGCTCCAAACCAGCGGGCCTGGTGCTGCTGCTGCTAGACCCCATGGCAACTAATGCGTCCAACTGTATGTCCAGCTGCAGAAGCGCCAGAGCGATTCCGTGAGGTGTCTCTTGAAAGCAACATGCGCAATTAGGAGCATCGGCACCTGCTGCTGCAACAGCAAGCGTTGACAGTTGTTGCGCCGGCCTTTTGGTGCAACAGTAACAGCGCAGCAGATGCTGCACATGGAGTAGCGGCACATGCAGCTCCACCGCCGCTGCAAGTAAAACAGATTTCTGCAGCAGGAGGGTTCTTGCAGCACACGGTGGAGTAACAGCACCAGCAAGCAAGTGTGCCTTTCCCCAATGTGAAATAGAGAAGACAAGCCCTTGGCTTTCGCCTGCCGCAGCAGCGGCTGCTGCATGTGTTAACGCTACATCTCCATCTGCTGCAGCTTTGTGCAGTCGCAGAAGCTGCCAGTAGACCTTACGCTGTGACGCGTCAAGCCCCAAAGCCTGCAGCCAACCTGCTGTGGCCGCCACTGACCCTGATGTTCCGTGCCCAAGAAGCAACGGCGGGCCCCTACCACTGCAGCAGCATACCGCATCAACCTGAGCTGCAGCGAGAAACGCCCAAAAGCTGCTTGCGTGGCGTTTTGGAGTATAAAGGCTTGCCGCAGAACGCAGAGCCCCCACGGGTAGCACGCGTGGAAAGATGTGACTGGCCTGCAGCAGCAGCAGCAGAGCAACTGCTGCCATATCTCCGTCCATTCCTGCATGCGTCGCATTCCCAAGCGTGTCCTCGTCAGTTAGCAGTTCCATGAGTCCCACTCTGCTGCGGCATCTTGAAGAGCGGCAATGAATAAAGTTGCTATCTGTGCCTTTGTTGTCCCAGCAAGAACTTCCCCGATGTCTGCCAGTCATGCCCAGGTTCCCGCCCAACAAGCTCTTGGTATGGCGAAGCAGCTGGTGCAGTAACGGTCTCAGCTGGAGTACAGCTGTTGCGGGCAGCTCTCTCTGCGCTCCACTCAACGATCCTAGAAGAACGTGACACCGCACCAACAGAACCTTGCTCCGAAGCTCAGTAGAAAGCCGACGTTGCTGCAGCCGCTGTCCTCCAGAAGCCTCTTCTAGCGGATCACCAGGTACTGAATTGCTGCTGCTGCTGCTGCTGCTGTCCCTGTGTTCGCATGAAGTTTCGACGGCTGAGCATAGCGCAGTCATGAGCCGCGCGCATGCATCAGCTATTTCAAAAAAGCATGCCACGCCCTCTTCTGCAGCGGCTGATGCAGCGGCTCCTGCTGTTGCCGCCGCTACCGGCAGCATCCGGCGCTGCAGAAGCCTCTGCTGCACCACTGAACTGTCTGCATACGGAACCTCAAAGTTTAAATTCTGAAGCTCTGCTCTTTCAGCAGAAGCAGTGCACGAGATGAAGGCGTTTCCCGGTCCTTTTAAGACGCCCGCAGGTACGCTGCCAACATGCTGTCGCTGCTGCTGCTGCTGCTGCTGCGGCATGTTTGCACCTCCTAAGCGGCCCAAAGCACCAGAAGACCATGGAGACCCTGTAAGTCGAGCTGTTTCTGCCGCTGCACCTGTCAACAGTAAATCTGCAGTAGCCGCAGCCCCCGCAGAGTCAGCTGCCTGGACAGCGGCAGCAACAGCTGCAGAAGACTGACTTCTCAGTAATTCCACAGAATGCCTCAAATGGTCAGTCCAACTGCTGCTGCTACTGCTGCTGCTGTCGTTGGAGTCGCGCATACAAGATTCTCGATTTAAAGGGCGCGATCCTTCTGCTGCCACTTGCGACCGAGCTGCTGCTCCTGGTAAGTACGCTTGCTGCTGCTGGGTAAGCTGCTGCAGTTCCTGCCCCTGCGCGAGCTCCTGTTGTTGCTGCTGCCGCCGCGAGTCCACTTGGTGGTGATGATGCCCGCGCAATTCCTCCAGGAGCCTCATAGATCCTTGCAGTTGGTGCAGCGGCGACGCTGGGTTTGTCGGACATTGCTGCCTCTGCTGCCCATGTGCTTCCCATGCCTGCTGCTGCTCCCAACGTTCCTGCTGTAGCTTGAGGGGTTGTGTTGCAGCCATAAGACGCATGTGGTGTTCAGCTGACCTCAGGGATTGCAGTAGCAGTGTGGGGTCCACAGCGAGCTGGCCTACTAGCTGGGGCTGATTGTGCAACAGTAATGCAAGATGAAGGGCAACGGTTCCAACAGCATTCAAAGATAGCAGCACAGGCCAGTGTGACTTGCCGCGGCACACCTGCAGCATTCTTATAGGTGTTGTCGATGTGGTGACTGCTGCTGCAGCGGGAGGGTGAGCCCAACCACCTGCAGCAGCCACTGCGGCTGCTGCCCTTTGGCTGGCCGTCGCAGACGCAGCAGATACGAATCGAGGAGCTGCTGCTGCACTGCTTGCTGCTGCTGATTCTTCCGGTGCTACCACTAACGACTGCAGCAGCTGGGCTGCATGTCTCAAGGCAAACTGCAGCAGCTGAAGTGCAACGAAGTTGTTGTGTTTGCCCAGCTGTAGCAGCGCAGCAGCCAACGCATGTGAGCATGCAGCCCCGGAGCCGTCGCTCCCCTGAACCATATTCCTAAGCGCAGAAGACAACACAAAACAGATGCTGACTGATATTAAACCCCTTAAAATTCAAACCATGAAACCGTAGCCATTTGCTCCCGCAGCACCCGGTGAGCCTGATCATGCAGTCGTTGTTGCTACAAAGTGGCTTGCTCCAGCTGCTGCAAACGCAAACATAGCAGCAGATGCGGCTATTGGCGCTGCCTCACCATGCAGAAATCGCAGCTTCCTCCAGGCGTCCCATGCGCAGCAGCACAGCGAATGCGTTTACATTAATTTGCTGAATCAACGAAAGAGCTCTTTGCCTTTCAAACATACTGCTGCCATTTTGGTTGCTGCCACTGCTGCCGTCATTGCCTGCTGGCAACTGAAGGCCGTGAGTAGCTACCGGCAGGAGCCCCGGAGCAACAGCAGACGCCACGTTTTGCAGCCCCAAGGAAATCCAGGCTGGCACTGTCGCATTCGTTGCTGCCTCTATCAGTTCTGATGGGCCGTAAGAACAAGCCGCGGCAGCAGCAGCTGCAGCTGCTGCTGCGGCTGTCAGCTCCACTTCCGTCGCCAGTGCACGTGCCTCTTCGCCACCCCCATGCTGCAGTAGCAGCCTCTGTTGCAACAGAAGCGAAGGGAAACAACTGCAGGAGGGTGTTGTGTCAAAATCTTGCAACAGCTGGCTCTGTTGCTGCTGCCGCTGTTGCTGTTGCAGCTGCAGCAGCTGCTGCTTGTGGAGCTGCTGCAGCAGCTCGAGACCGTCATGCAGCGGGAGGCAGTGCGATAACCAGACAGATAGGGCACCGGCAGCAGCGTTCTGCTGCAGCACAAGAAACAGACCACAAGCGCACCCTAAGAAAATGATACAGCAGCTAACACGCTGAATCTATCTGTTGCAAGAATGCGCAAGTCCCCCAGTAATGCATGCCGGAACTTCTTAAGCCCTCACCTTTGACATCGTTTTGCTGCACTCAATAGCCAGTGCATGCAGGTCTGGGCACCCCACTCCTGTGCAGTAGCAGCCGCAGCAGGCGTCCCGGCAGTCCAGCAGCAATTGCATATGCTGCTCCTCATTGCTGCCACGCCGCACATTGTGGGTGCAGCAACCACTCCAAAACGGTTCCCCTACAACACCATATTGGAAATCGCTTTGCTGCTGCCGCTGATTCAGTTCCTGCTGCTGTTGCTGCATTGCCACTGCAGCCAAAGCAGCATCCGCTGCCGCTTTAGCTGCGCCCTGTCCCCAACCAAGGCGCTTTCCCGCTCGAAATGATGCATGCACAAGCAAAATGAATGCTGCCACTATTTTTGCTGCTGCTGCTGCTATTGGTGCCGCTTTTGCAGCAACTCAGCACGCCAGTTTGTACCTTCGCCCGCAAGTGGTACTGCTGGCGCCACGACATTTGGTCTCTGCTGTCCTGCTGCAGCTGCTGGTAGTGGTGCTATTCTTGCTTATGCTGCTGCTTCCGTGTTTCTATGAAACCGAATGACATATCGCAACCGTTTTGTCCATCCTTGTCATGGCGTCTCTGTTGCCACCGGTGTTTGTGCTGCCGCTGCTTCCGCCAATGCGGCTGCTATTACCCCATTCCTTCTTCGTTCCTAGCCCTCCCTTCCAGCTACGCCTCCGTAACTTCTCGGTGTGGTGGGACTTCTGCTGCTGCTGGTGTTCAAGAGGTTAGGAGTGTGCTCAGCAGGATGCACGGCGACCAGGACACCTCACTCCGTAGGTCCAGCTCTTGCCAGTCTGTTCAGGCGTGCATGTTACAGGAACTTACCTGGTTCATGCTCAATGGATGAGCGACTACTGGAACAGCCGACGCTGCTCTTGCTTTAGCTTTAGCTGCGGCTTCACACGCCCCTATGTCCTGTAGCTGCCTACTGCAAGGCGTTCCATTCGACAGGTACAGCCAATCACTTCCACGCTCTGTTTCAGGAGAGTTTCTGTGGTTCACCCGCTTTCTAATGGGGTGCTTGCGCGGCTAGGCTAGGCTCAAGGTCCCTGTCCTGCTGTTGTTCTGAGGCTGTTGCTGCGGATGGTAGCTGCAGTAGCAGTTACACCATACCACGGAGCCACTTTTCTGTCAGGTGCATTTGCTCAGCAAAAAATACCGGAAACGACTTTCAAATATGACCCTAGCTAGCGAGCTGGTTGGAGCAGCCGCAGCCGCAGGGCGAAACAACAAACCCCACCCCCGGCAGCCCTACTGGGGCTGCTGCCGGTCCCTCACCTCCTGCTCCCTTTGAGGCCATTAAGCTGTATCCTGGTTGCACATGAGTTGATTTAATATAAAAGCTCCTAAATGCATTGCTGCTGCAGCAAGCGGCCTCCTGGGTCTGTCGGGTCTGTCCCGTTGCACATTGCCCTTCAGCTTCTCACACAGCAGCAGCTGCACCACAGAAACAGCAGTAGCAGCACCAGCAAAGTCCATGCCTCGTAGCCCACTGGGGGCCGAAGGGCCCCATGTGGGCGACACTGATAAAGGGGCCCCAACTGTCGCTTCGCAGAAGCAGGGTTTGCAAGATGCTTCATTGACAGCAATACTGTGGCCTCAAGATGCCGCTGCAAACAGTAATCTTTGTCTTATAGACCTTCAGGTGAGCATGCTACGGCTCCTGCTTCTGCAGCTAATATGGTTGGGTGGTTACTCTGATCAGGGCTGCACGCTGTCTTGCAAGCAGCAGTGATGCACTGCTAACAGCGAGGCTGTGTATCGAGGACGCCTGCATTCCTGGCTCCCTTGTGTTGCCGTTTTCTGCAGGGAGAGGCCCTTTTAGCTACTCAGGATCCAACTAAAGCTGCAGCCGACTTGCAGCCGCTGCAGGCACCTCCCGAAACAACAGCAAATGAAGGACAGCAGCAGGAATCGCCTGAGTGCGAGCTTTGGGGCATAGTACGCTGGCCTTCAGCTGCTGCTGCGTCGGCCGGCGACAGCGGACCCTGCTGCCTCTACGTGGGAGGAGATAGCGTACAGGGCAAGGTGGCCCCCTTTGTTTCTGCAGACGGCCCATGCACCCTTGCAGTCCTGCGGCGGGTGCGGCGTCCGCTCCTTTTAGACGTGTCTGGCTGCACGTACACAGTAGCAGAGGGGGAAGCTGCTGCTGCTGCTGCAGATGCGGCTTCCGCTGCAGATAAGGGTGCTGCTGCGCACATGGAAGCTTGGGAGTTCTATGGTGCAGTTGAGAACACCGTTTCCTTTTGCAGCGCTCCAGAACTGAACCCTTTCAAAGAGGCTTTTGCTGCTCAGGCCGCGCATGTGTCGCCTCTGCAGCAGCCACAGCAGCAGCCACAGCTGGGCCCCGTAGCAGCAGCTACTGCTGCTGCGGCTGCAGCCGCTGCAACAGCAGATGCAGCAGCACCAGGTGAAACCGATAGTGATGCTCTGTGGCTCGTAGCTGCCTCCCGGCAGCTGCCGCATATGCACAACTCGTGGCAGCTGCTCAATCTGAGCAGTGAACTACGGAATGAACTGCAGTTGGGGCAAACACAGCGAGGGGCACAGCGAGTGCTGCTGCTGAAGGGCCGGCCTACCGCTTTCCCCATTCCACCCAGTGCTGCCCAAATGCGGGACGAAAGCAAAACACTTATTTGCAGCCGGAATAGCAGTTTTTCTGTCACGCAGAACACTATAGACGGGGAGGTGCTAATTTGCTGCAGGGAGGCAGCACCGCGCAGTGACGCAGAGAAGGACTGCATGCTCATTGATGACAAAAAAACCGACAAAGACAGCGACCAACGGAGCGGTACTCATGGTGTTGCAATTGTGGGCATCTGCAGGTCTGTGCTGCAGTTAGAGAAGTCACGGGGGCGGATTTACCAGGTGCAGCAGCTGCTGCAGTTGCCGGTGCAGCAACTGCTGGCTGCATACCCGAATTCAGTGCCACCGGCAGCCGTGGCTGCGGGCCGCTCAGTGCTTTCTTCGGCAGTGCTGCTGCAGCGAGTTCAAGCTTCCCCAGCGGAGATAGCCGCAGTTCTGCTGGGTGATGCAGGTTTGCCGTCATTGGGGCACTTCTACCAAACAGCAACTGCAGCATCCACCCCTGCAGCATCGCAAGGGGGAGGGCCGGTGAAAGTGGCAGAGCAGCAGAGCCATTGCCTGCAGCAACTTTTGCGGCAGCTTCCTAGTATGTGGGGTTCTCTTCCTGCTGTCACTTCACGTGCTATTCTCTACGACCCAGATGTGGGCGGCTATTTCGTGGTCTCTAACGCCATGGTGCGAAAGTGGCTGTTTCGTATTATGGACTGCTTGGCTTTAGGCAGCAGCAGTAGCAACAGCAGCAGCAGCGAATGGTTTAGTGTTGGGTGGGCCCTTGAGGCCATCACGGACTGCGTGCAGAGGCACGGCGTGGCTGTGCCGGGGTTGCGCGTACAAGCCCACTCAGGAAGAACAGCAGCAGCAGCAGGCGACAGCACAACGGATACAGATGAGAATTCGCCGCTGCTGACAGCAGGCTTGCTTTTGCAGCTTCTGAGACTTTTCTGTGACATGAGGCTCCCGCAGCTCTACTGCAGCAGCTATCCGACAGCCTTGGGCGACAGTTGTCCTCCTCTTTCAACGGAATCCGCGGCAGCAGCAGCAGTCAATGTGAGCGGTGACCTAGTAGATTTGCTACATGGCTTGGAGAAGGTCCTCAGTGATGTAGCTGCTGCGGAGGAAACTAAGGCCGCAGTGAATCCCCTTAAACTGCATTTCTTGCTAGCAGCAGAGACAGCCGAACGTGTGGGGTTGCTGCTGCAGCTGAAACATGGTGTGACCTATACTTTGTCTGCTGCAGTCACTGCAGTAGAGGTAAAGAAATTCTGCGTAAATCTAGGAAAGCTGTGGCAGCAAGTGCCGGTCAGGATACTGCAGTGGGCAAAGGAACACATGCAGAATCGCATAGCTGCTCTGAGGTCGATTGCAGCAGCTGTCATTGCTGCTGAATGCCAGCAGCAGCAAAACCAGCAGGAAGCTGCAAACGAGCTGCTTTTCGCTGCAGCAAACCGAATACCGCTTCTAGCAATGTGGTTTCACTGGGAACAGCTGCAGCAAACGGCTAGCTTCCCTCTGTCAGCCCCATCTCTTCTGCGTTGCTGCACTTACGGATTTCCTGACTTACGCACCGACTTTTCGCTGCAGCGTGCACAGCAGCGTGCAATCCCCACGTGTCTTCTGTACGGCAACCGTCCGGCGCACGGCGAATCAGTTGGCCTCGAAACAGCAGCAGCAACAGCAAGGTTGATGCATGCAGCAGCTGCATCCGTTGCATCAGCCGGCTCAGGGGGAAACACCAGCACCCGACAGTTTGCTGCGTTGTTACCAGGCGCAGAAGAAAGGCGGGCGTTCGTGCAAGGCATGCTGTTGTCCCCTCTCCGCGGCTTTTTCGTTGCAGTTGAAGGGCAGCTTCTGATGCTGCCAGCGGCAGAACTCCCGTTGACTTTGAGGGAGCGTCTTGTTGCTGCGTTTGCTACGAAGACCGTGTGGCGAGAAGAGGAGTTGCAGCCTTTCTTGAGCCTCTGCCGATCTGGCAAGGAGGAGAGAAATGTATGCCATGGCACTCCGCAGTGGCAGTTTATTTGCACAACAGGTTTTAGCAAAGCTGCACAGGCTTGCCAGTATGCTGCAAGCTAGCAAGCTAGCTGCCCTTTTGCTTTCTACTTTGCTCTTGACCCTTGCTCTCCCTGGTGGCACTGCTTGTGCTTGCTTTTCAGGATCTTGCTGTGGAGCTAGGGGCTCCCCCGGCTGGCTACTGTTTTGTTCATCAAGGCGAACTATCTGCAGAAACAAAGGAGCAGGTGACCTCTTTCAGGTCCAGAAATGTCCCTCCAGCTTTCTGGGAATTGGATTAATGCAGCTTCTGGCTCACGGCGCGCAGCAATGTACGAAAAGAACAGCAGAGTTCTGCTGCAGTAGTGCCAGCAGTCATGACACAATGGTGGCACTCTGGCCCAGTGACAGGTGCAGTGGGTCCTGCACGTGAGCTGCACCCACTGCTTCCCGTTGCTGCGGTTGCTGCTTACGATTTCCCAGTCTAGCGGGTTTGCAGTTTTGATGTCCAGGTATCCCGCTTTTTCCCATGGCTTGCTACACAGGTAGCGGCAAAATCTCCGGTCTTAGGGCTTGCTAGCTAGTTAGCTAGCAAGACATTGACCAAGCTAGAAAGTCAGCTAGCTATTTCTGTACGAAGCGAACGAACTCAAGATAAAAGCTGGTTTGGTTTGTACTTATGGCTACTCTACACCTGGCGAAGTGGCTCGTGCCCTACTGCGCCGGCAGGAAATCAGCGTAGCTGCTGCTGTTGCCACCAACTCCCGCCGCATTTTGTGCTCGAAGCGGTGTGTTGCACCACATTTTGGGAGCTTCAAAGTTCTTGTCTTTTTCTCCCAAGATGTTGGAGTGGCGACTGCACGGTTAGCTAGATATGAAGCGTGCCAGGTGGACACGATGCGTCGGTTCATCAGTGGCGGTAGAGCTGTTTCTGTTGCAACGAATAGGGGCTTGCATACATAGTTGCTTGCAAGCGTTTGTTGTGGTGACCCGACAGCAGACAGCACCTCATGGTTTCGGTCTCTGCGGAAGCGCGGTACAGGGTTCCTTGTTCTTTGAAAGCACTCTTGCTTGGCAGTAACTGGCCAGTTACTTGCCAGAGCGGCGACCTAATGGCTGCTTAGTTCAAGCTAGTTCAATAGCAGTAGTAAACCACGGGGAAGCCTGCCTTGCCACTTGCCCGAGCTTATGGCTAGATCTGTGGGGCAGCCCGCGTGCTCTTGGGGCACCATACTCGCACTTTAAACGGGATTCCAGTGACTATGCGGTTACTGTGATGCATCTCGGCCACCTCAAATATGGTTTTTAGAGTGTTGTTTCGTGAAGCTGTGCGTGCACACCCTTCGCATCGCTCCCCATAGCAACAGTGGCTCATGTAACAGATTCGCAGCAGGCGGCTAGCAAACAGCGAAATGGCCAGTGGTTCGCACATCCAGCAGGCAACGATGTCAAATTTTTTGTGCTTTACCATGTTACTCTAAGCAGCCCACAAAGTTTCTCAAGGAAGCCCGTTGCTGCTCTCTTGCATATTAATTAGCAGTCTCTGCTCCCGCTGCCCGACTGCCTAGTGTGTACGCCTATCAGTGGTGCGGGGGCCAGTTTTTGCGTATTTGCTTGTTTATCGTTGAGTCGTGTATAGAAAATAAGTATAAATTCGGGGCTCAAATGGGACAAGGGGACGCAATAGGGATCCGACGCGCATCAGTGGCCACACGCGTTGTAGCGTGTACTGCTGCTCTGCTACTGCTGCTCTGCTGCTGTTCCTGCTGCTGTTGGGGAACTACCTAGCACTGCTTGTCTGCTTGTGTTGAGCTTCCGTCCTAAAGCAATTCTTTATTCTTTATAAAGGTGTACTTTTCTCAAACAAAACGGAAAGAAATGGCCCAGCCCCAGCTTTTATGCTTCGTCCTAGATCCCCTGGACTGCAGCAGCAACAGCTGCAGCCACAGCGGCAGCAGCAGCAACAGTAGGGCCTTGTTCTAGCCATTCGTGCTGCGCCGAGTTCGTTATACTTTTAGGAGTCCTGAAAGTATATACGTCAAAACGCATCAAACAGAAGAGATAGCAGAGGTTGCAGAGACCCACGGAAGACGTTCCGGCCTGTGGACACTGCTGGCGAGCGCTCGAGCCACCATTAGGACCAGAGGCCACCGCCGCAGCAGCTGCAGAAACGCCGACTGCATGCACGAGAAAGCGACAAGACGTTTGCGAGATATTAATGGGCTCATGAAGTAGGCACCAGAGAGGCAACGGGAGCACCTACGGCAGCAGGAGCCCCGGCAGCCTGAATAACAGCTGTAGCCGTGTGCACCAGCCATGCCCGCGATGAGGAGCTGCGTACAGTGGGCGGCCTCGGCAGCAAACCAGTAGTAGCAGCAGTGGCGGAATCAAAGGCAACAGGTTTTGTGCGCAGCTGCCAGTGGAAGGCACTCAAAGCCAGTCTGACGAATCGGTAGCAGCAGCGGCAGCGGCAGGACCAGCAGAAACAGCAGCGGAAGAAGCCACAACTGCAGTGCCTCAATGCATCGACACCCCCTTGCCTAGCCCGCTGCAGCTACACACAGGAGAGTGGCACACACCCACCGGCAGCACTAGAGCCTTCCCAGGCCTAGTTTGAGTGGGCGGAGCGCCATAGTGCCTGTTTGCCAGTTTCGGCCTGCAGTGGCATAACGAGATTATCGATAACGGCGCCACAAGAAGCTGTCGTAGCTGGGCAAGCAGCCTTAGGGACGAAGAAGAGCCACCCACAAAATGAGTAGCCAGAGCTCCTCGTTCAGTCTGCCTAGAGATGCTAGGCGAGACGTGGGAGCGGCATCCCCGCAGCAGCAACACCGGAGATCCCATGGGCAGCAGCAGCAGCAGAAGCAGCGAGGGGACAGCCACATGTCCATCCCGCCTCTGATGCGCAATGGTAGCAGCCACAGCAGCAACCCCAGCAGCGGCAGCGGCCTGCCTTTGTACACGGACGTGGTAATTGTAGGGGCTGGCCCTGCGGGTTTGACTCTTGCCTTGTCTTTGGCACTCCAAGGCGTATCCTTTGTCATTGTCGATGCAGCCCCATGCACTCCCCAGGAGAGCCGTTCGCTGACGGTGCATGCGCGGACTTTAGAGATTCTCGAGGTGTGTGGCTGCTGCTTTGGTCTAGTGAGATATTGCTGTGGCCAGCGTAATTGTGTTCCCCAGCAGCAGCTTCTGAAAGTAGTTGCTTTCTACTGCGCCTCTGAAAAGAGTAGCCTTCTCAGTGCGGGCGCTGCCACCCTGTATGAAATCTCCTCCATGAATGCTTGCAAACCAGTGGCTAGCCACTCTGCTTTATACGTAGCAGGGCAGATAGCTAGCTAGCACGCGTGCCGTGCATGCATGCACGTTGCAGATCCCTGAGGCGTCTCTTTACTAGATGGAATCACAGCCAGAAGACCAAGCAGCTAGCTGGGTAGCTTCTTGCTGGCTAGCTAGGCACGAAAGAAGGCACTCTGACACGTGTTTGGATTTAGTGTGTGTGCACGCCCGTCATTAGGACCTCGGAGTTGCGGGAAGTTTCTTGACATTGGGCCTTCTTTGCCGCGCGTTCGAGTTGTGGGTGAGCGGGCGCAAGAGCCTCTCAGTGCCCCTAAGAGACACAGAAACGGCTGCTGCGCCCGTGCGGGTTCCCACCTTGAAGGCTCTCGCCTCTTTGGCTGGCAGCTTAACTGCTTCTTCAGATGCCCCGGAAGTCAACGCAGCCTGCAGCAGCGGAAGCCCCTTTCCGTTCGCCCTCATCCTGCCACAGGCCACCACCTGCCAGATCCTGGAGAGAAGGCTCAACCAACTGGGACATGAGGTCCGCTGCTGGTGATGCTCATGCTGCTGCTGCATAGCGTTGCAGCTGCTTTTTTCCAGATTGCCGCTGAGTTGCTGCTGCTGCGCACGGTGGGCTTTTGGGTATTTTACTTGGAGATCTGTTGGGTTCCTGCAGCCTTCTGTTGCCTTTTGAGATTTTCTTCTGTAGGCACGGGTCGCTCGTTGTTATTGCATTGTCACTGCTCGTGTTTTCGCCATCTTCTGCAGGTCCACCGACCTGTTGCCGTGTGGCAAATTCAAGGATTCGATGCAGACGAACCTAGCGCGTTCCCTGTTGACCAGCGTACACAGCAACAGCAGCAACAACAGCAGCAAAAACAGCGACAGCAACGGAGCACAGAATCGACCTTGACTACGCAGGAGGATTCCGATCAGAGTTCCTTCCGCTCTCCTCATGAGGTTGCAGACGAACCGCAGGTGATAGCGGGTGCAGAACAGCGGCAGGTGCACAGACAGGAGCAACAGCCGCAACAGGAGCAGCAACAGCAGGAAGAATCTTTCTTCCCGGCCTTTACAGCTGGTGGGCACGCTTCACGGAGGGACAGCTCCAACAGCCAGTTGGGGTACCCGGTGTCTGTACACTTCGGCCACTATGTCCCACGCAATGGATCGTCATCCTTCTCAGCAACGACACCAGCATCCGTGGATGAGCCACCCGTGAGATTTGGCGTGGTGTGCTGCCGATACGTCGTGGGCTGCGACGGGCCAAGGTCTGCTGTTCGCAAGGCAGGGGGCATCTCGTTTGAACAGCGGACCAACCCTAGGTCTTTCATAGTGGCAGACTTGCAGCTTTCGCCTACACTGATGTCAGCTTGCAGCTCTACGGTATCTCCTGCACAATCTCCTGTGCTGGGTGCGTCTTCCTCCCCCACTCGGACCCCTCCAGAGTCACCTCGAGGGGAGTTCAATGGCAACCCCACGCAGGCCTTCGCAGCCAGCCCTTTCCAACTGGCAAACCGGCATCAGCAAGGGGAGGATGATGTCCCACTGACACTGTCCTCTTGGGAGCAGCAACAACAGCAACAAGAAGCGAGCAGCTGCCAGCTTCTGGGCTGCGGGGGCCTCGGAGTTCCTGTCGATGGTTTATGGGGTGAAGGGCTCCTCTCTGGCTTGGGAAAAAGACTGCATGCAGCAGCTGCTGCCGCTCTGGAGCCAGGAGAGGCAGAGAGGGCTCGGCTGATGGCCTCAGGAAGACGAACTGCTGCAGGGGATGCGGTGGAGATACACCTGACCTCAAAGGGATTTGCTGCGTGTATTCCAATGCTGAAGACTGCATCAGCGTCAGCCGTGGCCCAGGCTACAGATTTTGGGAGCCGCAAGAGCGGCAGTTACGGCGGCAGTAGAAGCTTTAGGCAGCAGCAGTTGTTGATGCACCGGCGCAGTACAAGACCCGCGGACACATCAGCATTCCGATGGAGGGTCGTTACTGAAAAGATCCCATCAATGACCGCTCTTGCCCCTAGCCATGCGATGTCGTTCACCGACTCTGCTGTCGCCCCTGCTGCTGCTGCTGCTGCGACTGCTGCTGCTGTGGCTGGGGAGAACGACACCCGGAGACAGGAGTCGCAAGCTGAGACACGCGAGGAGCTCCTGCAGCAGGTTGAGCGGGTACGTATCAGAAAGTAGCTACAGCAAGTAGGAACAGCAGCAGCGGATCACACATTAGCAGCAAATCAAGTCCTTCGCCGTCAGTAGCAAGTACATCAGAGCCCTGACTCCTGCTGATTGCAGCCCGCGCAGCGAAACATTTTCAATGCCAAGATTGTCTAGTTTTCTGGCATATGTAACTTCCTACTAGCTGCTGCTATTGATCCTACGAATGTTCAGATATTCGTGGGCTGCCGAGTGACGGAGGTTTACTGGTCCGCAGTGTACAAGTCAGCGGTTCGAATGGCTTCTGTGCTGCGTCGCAAACGGTTGCTGCTAGCCGGAGATGCGGCGCATGTTCACCCTTCAATATTGGGACAAGGAATGAATCTAGGAATGCAGGTTAGTGAATTTCTGGCTGTCCTGCCCGTTAGGTTTGGTTTGGCTTCATCTGTTTTCGGTGGTTTTTGCTGCATAGTCGTGTGTGCTTTGTCTCCCTGCCGTTTTATTCAAGGTTTTGAGTGCTTTCGATTATTTACACACGCTTTTGCACTTGGTTTTTTGGGGGACTTCGTGTGGGGCTTCCATGGGAGTTGTGCCACGCACGCTTAAGCTGTCTTGCTTGTAGTGGCAGCCCTATCGATTTCGTCTCGCTGTAACTTCCCGCTACCCTTTTGACATTTTTTCGAAGGCCTTTGTGGCATCAGAGAACAGTCTGTAGAATATAGACAAGAAACAACACAACAGCGCCAAAGATGTTGAATTCAGAACAAATTTGCGGTTTGCTAATTCAGTGCAAAGGAAAAGTGCATGAGCTCTCGTATTCATGGGATCTACACACACGCACAGAATTACTGGCGTATGCATGTTTTTAGCGATGTATATTAGTTGATGCTTTGCACTGTTTATTTGCCAGCGGTCACATAAGAGTACACCTTGAATCGGGCGGAGCAAGGGCAGTAAGCAAATGTACATGCGTCTTTGCTACTGCAGAATGCTTACAATCTGGGGTGGAAGTTAGCCCGCGTTCTTCGCCATGGTGCTTCTCCGCAGCTGCTGGACTCCTACTCGGAAGAAGCGAAACAAGCAGCAGGTATGTAGCTCCTGCGGCCAGCCATTTTTTGAGTTATTCCTGCAGCAGTAGCACCAGCAACAACCACCAGCAGATTTGCGGACAGAAAGGTGATGGAGAAATTAAGCAAGCTCACAAAAATGAGGAGGCAAACCCCACTGTGCCTCTGCACACGATCCAATTATTCAAGTAGAGGCACGCACTGTAGCCAAAATTGACTGCTGCCTCTTGCTGCTGCCGAAGGGACAGTGTAATGATTATCACAGGGTACAATACCTAGGCGTGGCGGCTTGTGCTGTCATGTTTCTAGTTCTTCTGTTGTCGCGATTTTGGTTACAGAGCAAGTCGTGGGGCTATCCGACCGTTTTTTCCAGTCTGTTCTTTCGGCCAACGGCTCCGGCGGTGAGACGCAGCCAAGGTCTTTTCTTGCTGCCAGTTCTGTACACAGACTTTTCAGGTTACGTATTCGTTTCATTCTTGCATAGCTGCGTCATTGTATTTTACAGTATTTATTCTTTTTGAACTGTGCAAGCATCACGGCTGTTGCTTGCTTTGCAAAGGCTATGCGATTTTGGCGCCACTGCTCACCCCCCATCCATGTATTTTGCGCTTTTCTTGTTCATATTATTGTTTCAGGACTTCTTTCCAGGCTTTTACTGCGCATGGGGGCTGCCGTTGCGTCTCACTTGCCGAGCGCTGCGAGGAGCTTCGGGCAGACGCTGTTGATGACTCGCATTTCTTACCCGCAACCGAGGCAAGTCAAACAGGGCATGCCTTACATCTGCGCTGTCAAATAGCTCAACTTACAAGCCACAGAGCAATTAACCAGGTGGTGCAGTTGTAGAAAATACGCTTGAATTCACTATGCTACATTTCGGTAGAAGGGACTTGCTAGCAGCTTCTCATTCAGGAAGATGCAATGCAGCTGAATAGGCTCTTAAAAGTCATGCGCTGTGTGCTGGACGCAAGTTTGGTGGATTTCTTGTTGACATTGTTTCGCAGTATTGCTTTGGGGAACGGCGATTCGTCTTTCATATCGGGACTGAAGCCTGGCTGCAGAGCCCCTGACTGCCTCGTCAAAGTTGCTCGGGTGAGCAGCGCGGTGCTTTACACGCTTTTGATATCCACGTGCATCTAGTGTTTCGTGTTATACACTGTTGCTGATGCGGAAGCCTGACACTTGCTACCGATCCCTGGCTTGCAAGTAGCACTTCAGGCGGCAGCTTTAGCAGGAATGGATCCCGTAGGGGACGCATGGTTTTATGTGTTTATTCGTGTGAAATAGTTTTCTGCTCAGCTGCGTTGTTGTTGTGTCATCGCAGTTCCCGAAGATGCATCCTCCAGATGTGGCAGACCCCGTGGCTGGTTACCTTTTCGAGCTGTTGGGCAAAGGTCGCCATCTGTTGCTGCTCCATATAATGCTTCTGCCTCCAGGAGCCAGAAAGCAAAACATATTCGGATGTGAAATAGCGGGAGCTCCCCTTGTCTGTGAGTCGCTAGCTCTCCTACGTTGAATGACGCTCGTGCTCGTGCCGTGTTGTTGATGTCGCAGTTGCCGATGCTGCTGCTATAGTGCGCCCTTCTGATGCCACTGTGTGTTATGGAATTTTTGCCTTGGCTTTGAGGTGGGCATTGGGCGCATTGGGATGTCTTGATAGCAGGTTGCTTGTCGTAGTCACTGCGGGGCCTGTCGCTGTTACTGCAGCGTGTGCAGATATATCGTCACGCATACCTGTGCAAGTGTATGTATGGTCTTACACTTTATGTGTGTATAGTGTCGCATATTGGTACTAAAAGTGTGCATGCTCGACTGTGCGTTAACATATTTAGCTGCAGAACACATATATACAACCACGCAAATGCCTCCGGCGGCGGTTTTCGTTTTCCCGTGAATCGGTGAAAGCATAATCACAGTTGAACAATCTATCATTTTGAGCGCTTTTGCTGCTATAATTGCTGCTACTGATACGCTTCAGCACGGTACAACAATGAGGCAGTAAGCACTCTGGCGCGACTTTGTCAGCTGGCAGTTCTGGCTGCAGCCAAGGGTGCTTCATCTGCGGCTCCATCTCCAGTATGTAAAGACCTCAACTCTTCGCGTTCCGGGTCATTTAATGTCTCTGCAGCAGCAGCGCAGAGCCTCCACGCTCCGTTTTCAGCAGCAGACTTCGTAGACTTCCCTGCCGGCCTCGAAACGGGTCTTGGCAGCAGCAGCTGGCGCAGGGGAGCAGGAAGCAGCGATTCAGAGACAGACGATGACAATGCATATGAGGACGGATTTTATGGAGCTGACAGTGGCAGAGATACCTCAATGGGCACTGCTAACAGTAGGCCCCTGAGTTCAAGGCGTGGTCTCGAGACACCAATGGCAGCTGCTGCTGCGGCTGAAGCGTCCGCTGAGGGTGGTGCTCCTGTTGGAGGCAGAGTCCTGCGACGCCACACGGAGTGCCCCACAGCGAGCGGTGCCTCAGCCGCAGCTACGGAGAGACAGCTGTGGGCTTCGGATTTGCGCGTTGTGTGGTGTTTCCACGGGCCCACAGCTGCTGTGCACACAACCGCCACATCAACCAGCATCACTTCAGAGATTGTGCGGGGCAACTCGCGCTGCATTCCTCCTGCCAAAAGTCGTTCGCTTCTCCAGCAGCAACAGCAGCAGGCTCGGCTTCCTTCAGGATCGCCGGTTGCGGCGGCAGCGGCATCCAACGCAAAGATCGAAGTGGAAGAGTGTCACCTTGTGGAGCGACCGCTGTTGCAACTCCTGCCACCTGCTTTGCTGCAGCAGATGCAGCAGGCGAGCAGCGGCAGCAAAGGCAGTGGAGGGTTCATCCTCATAGACTTCCTCAGTGATCTACAGAGCAAATTTGGTTTATCTCTAGCTGACCCGCACGCCTCTGACGGTGCTGAGGCCAGCTGCGGCTTCTGCCTCATCAGGCCAGATGGATATTTGGCGCATTGTGGGAAAGTTGGGGACACGAAGGCTGCCAGGGGCCTCCTCGACTACCTTATCAGGTTCTAGGACGCTCTATTGCGTGCATTTTGTGCTGCAGCTGATGCGTTGGCTGGTGCAGCTGCTACAGAACTCGCAGCAGCTGCAGCTGCTCTTAGCTGCAATCGATTCTGCAGAGCATGCATCAGATTTTGTCCCTGGTTTTCGTTTCGCCATGTCATCATCTGCTGCATCAGTGACAGCAGGATTAGCTGAGACACACTTCAGTAGTGCCAAATATGGCCGGCTTTATCTTTTCTTGCTCGGAGCGGAGCGATTTAGGGTCCGCTGCACTCTCTGCTGCACTATGAATGCCGAGTGCGGCTGCTGCGGTTTCTGTTTTCGTGGGAGTGCGCGGCAAGGCGCAACTGACCTGCGGCAACCGAGCCAGTTTTGTGTTTTTTCTACCTTTGCTCTGCCGTGGTTGTAGCATTGTTACTGTTTGGCCAATACAATACATTGTTGCAGTTGCTATAGCTCATTCCGGCCCCCGTCCCATCCCCACCCAAGGCCGAAGGCGCGCACATCCCAGCGGCCGCCAGAGGCACTGACTGCGCACACCACGGGACTGTTCTGCTCCTGCGAGGCATTAAGGAATGCTAGTGGCTGGGGGTCAGGTGCCTTGATATGCTTTCCTAAGGCCCTCTGTCAACGTAACAGTATTCAGAGCTGGCTAGCCATGTAGACAGATAGTGTTCCCAAGTCTTTAGGCACGAAAAGAGTTGTCAAATACCACCAGTTGGGGTGTACATCTCGCACGGGGTAATTTGCTTCGAGTGTGCCTCTGTTTCACCTTTGCCTGCCTACTGGTGTCTCCAACTTGGCAGTTAGAGATGCGGTCTGAGAGCGCGTGCGCGATTCGCAAGAGGCTCTGTCTATCATCTCGCGTATAGCAGCCTATCGAGACAAGCGTACAGGAAAGTCAGGGACAGTACCTGATGACACTGCAGAAGTGTGCGCGCTACAGAAAGTGAAGAAATACCTGAAGGGAACGCAGTGTTACGGCTGAGGGCAAACCCACCTGAATAAAAGGCAGCGTCACCATTTGCCGGACTGTAGGACGCCGGCTGGGGTCTTTTTGCATCATGTCGGTTACCAGTTGCCTTAACTCTGCCGAATAGACCGACGGGACGGCAGGCACCTGCGAGAACACCCGAACAGCGCCTTCAGTAGTAAAGCGGGCCCCAATAGCAGCATCAGAAGCTGCACAGATATAATTATCTGTAAGAAGGCTCCTTCATTAGAGTGCGAAAGATTATCTGCAGCTATAGCAACAGCTACTTAATGGATAGTAGACACTAAGTGTATGCCGCAGCCAGGCAAGAGAAAGTTGCTTCTTTTAAATTGATGACTTTGCTGCTGCTGTTCACTCGCTGCAGCAGCGCTGCACGTTCAATAGAATCAGAAGCTCTGAGCTGCCAAGAATGATTTACGGGAGTGCTTGAAATTGCCTTCACAAGGCTCTTTAGGTTTTGAGCCCTAAAGGGGACAGCAAGAGAACACTGCACAAAGCACCACAGACAAGCAGGATAACTTTTCCATCACTTTACGCAGAGCAACGCTCCGCTTCCATCTCGAGCTCCACTTGCTGGTGTTGTTCTTGGTGTTCCACTATTGCTGGTGTGGCGCTCCAAATAAGTAATGGGCTGCTGCTGTAGTTAAACTGCTTTTGCTGTTGCTGCGGCTCTGCTGGTGAGCGCTTTCTGTCCATCTGGAATACGTACAAGTTCATAGACAATACAGCCAAGGGACCAGACATCAGAGGGGAATGAGTATTGGTGTTGCTGCAGCAGGAGAGACAGAACGCAAGTACAGTTAGTCTCTTGGGTTGGAAATATCTGGAAGGAAAAAGAAAACAGACGTACATACACCTGGTAGGCACTAATAGACGCTTGAAAACAGGAAGCAAGGCACAGTCCACAGAAGGATGGTCGGCATATACAGCATCAAAGCTTTGCAGAAACAGTTTGGATATATGCGCACGATTAGCAGCGAGGGAACATGTCAAAGCGGCTCTCGCAGACCTTGTAGTTGCAGGCACGTATGCTTTCAATAAGCTGCAAAAGCGGAAGCTCTAGAGCAGCGGCTGACGCAGGCACTGAGTACACTGCCGTGAATGCTGCTGTCGCTTCTCTTGCCTTTGCTTTTATCGCACCTGGCACAGCTCCGGGCTAAAGTAATAAGGAGTGCCGATGGTAGTCTTTGCACAGCAGTGCGTCGAGTCCAACATTTTTGCAATACCGAAATCGCCAATCAGCAAATCATCTCTTTCATTCAGAAACAAATTCTGAGGCTTTAAGTCTGCAAGACAATCAACAGCGACAGCCGCAGCAGCAGCAGGAGAATCGAAATATGGGGCAAATGCTGGTGAAAGAGAAACGCAGGAGCGGTGCCAGGTGCCTCGTAGCAGAGGCGCAAGGTAGAATACGGAATCAGTGAGGCACGCATCCGTGCAGGACAGTTGAAGGAAGGTCAGGGCAAGGGGCAGCAGACAAATGTGACGAAAAGAAGAAAGAACAGTATACCTCTGTGCAGTATGTGCCTTTCGTGAAGATGCTTGAGCCCAAGGAGAGCCTGGGCCAGCCACAACACAATCTGGCCCTCTTGAAATCTTTCATTACGCTTTCGGTGGCGCTGAATTCGCTTGTGCATATCCCCTCCTAACCAGCGGCAGCAACGAGAACAAACCTCTAAGCACGCATAATATAGGATGGAGGCTCAGTCACCGTTGAATGGGCCGGAGAAACATGAGAGATTGACATGGCGTCATACCTCTTAGAGATTACGGCAGAAAGAGGAAGGGCAGAAGGCAAAGAGGGGCAAATGTGAGGTAGGAACAAAAAGAAGCCTACCGGCACAATGCTCCATTATTATGCAAAGTTGGTCCTCTAAAATATAGCTCCGGCGATAGCGCACGATAAAGGGGTGAGGAGGGATGCTTGCGAAAACCTAAAAGGCGAATAAAAGGAAAAGAAGAAGCAGGCAGACAAACAAAGCTTGCGGGCACTTGTTGGATTGGCCACGGGAAAAAAGACCACAACGATCAGCAACCGCAGCGACGGGAGCCGAAGCATAAAGTACCACGTACACAAAGAAATAAAGGCCTTACTGACAAAAATTTGTGATCCAGAAGATGCAACCGTTGGAGCGAGAAAAATATACGTGGACATATATATATAATGTAGAAAGGAGGGAAAATGGTAACGCGAGACTGGACGACGCGCAACAACGCTCAAAAGCAGCAGCAGAGGAAATTTTATATTTATTGGCGTTGCACTTCGCAAACGCATCATTTGACGAAAGGAAAGGCAGCAGAGAAAAGGTTTCGAGACGCCTGTTCGGCAAACAGTAGTTACGCGTCGTTAGCCCTCATTCAGCTACTTATCACATAAGCTGTGTCAGACTGCATTTATTCGTTTGCCTAATGTTGTACCCTTGCCTCATTTAGGGTTTCTTCTCTGTCCACTGCGTCCATACCCGACATGTCTATTGACTTCAACACAAGCCTGCGCATACACCTCAAAAGCACAGCCACTAACTTTCTTGGCCCTTGTCTATCTTTCTTCGCTTTGCCTCCACGGCTTGTCCATACGTTTTCATTTCCGTCTTCCTGCTGCACATCTCTACTTTTTCGTCGGTTTGTGTTTGGCAGTTGCCTCTCTGCCTGTGCCATTCTGTCCCTCTGCACGCATTTCTCTCATGTCTCTCTGTTATTTTATCTTTTTGTATACTTCCTTTCGCTTCTCTAATTTCCGGTCAGTCTGGTTTTGCTTTTGGTGTCTTCTTGTGTCTGCGAGGCCCTTCCGTAAAAGCCTTTAGACCATTACAAGTGTATAATTGACGGCAGTGGCCGTAGGGCAAAGGCGAGCGAAGAGACATATACAAGAGGGGCCGGTACATAGTGCAGCAAATGCACTAAACATTCTGCTGCGTCAAAATGAGCGTTTCTCTGCTTCTGCTCGTAGAGTGTGTGCACCTTCTGCTCCAGCTGCAGTTGCTGCTGCAGCTGCAGTCTCCGCTGGTTCCCACACATGCTGCTTGCCTATACCTGTGGTATACGCATAATGCAGAGCTCTATGCCTCACTTGGTTCCATCTCCTCCCTTCTCCATCACTAGAAACGCCTTCCCGAATGAGCCCGAACCCAATAACGTCACCTTCTTGTAGATCGGCATCTTCGCTGCCACTGTCGGCCCCGCCAAAGCCCTCTGGGATCCGCTTGGGCAATGGGAACAGATCCCAGAGGGCCTAGTCCTATTTTCGCTCCTATTTCTGCTGTGGCTTGAGCTGCCTGTCTCAGCTGCATCCCCAGCTGCTGCTGCCGTCGCTGCTCATCGGGACCTTTTCGGCGACACATTCAAGAAGCATAGGTAGCATACTTTTGCTTGGACACTTATTTTACGTATAGTAGAATTGTGGCTGCGCACCACTTGAAGTGCTGGCGTTCTGATGCCTGCCTAGCACTGAAGGGTCTGGCGGCCAGGCAACGAACTCGCCGCAGCAATTCGCATGAAATTGGCAGTGGAAATGGGGGAATAAGCACGTTATTTCTTTATTTACTAAAATAATATTGACTAGTTGTCAGCTTCAGTAAACGGTCTTCAGTCGAGGCTGTTTTTAGGTGTCGGCTTCTGGAGCGGGGCCACCACTGCGTGTTGGACAGTGACCTGCAGTCCAATGGACTGCTCGGGGCTTAATTTCCAGCGTTTCCTCCCACTCTGAAAGCACAGGACGCTTAAGGCTGATAATGCTCAGTTATTTGTTTACATCACCTTGAATTAACTTTTAATTCGTTACATATGGTGGCAACGCCGCACTAACTTGCTCATAACGGCCGCTGAATCGGCTGCCCACGCACGCAAAAGGCGTGCCTCTGCCTCCATTTCTGTTGGTCTATATCTCTGCTATCTTTGCCTTTTAAAAACAAAGATTCAACTTGGCCCCTAATTCTTGGAGGGATTCTTCACTTATCCTTTGCTGCTACACCCAGTTTAACAGCTTGACTGTTCTCCCTCCAGCTCCACCACAACG